TTTATCAATGATTTCATTATATGCAAAAAAGAAAAGAATGCCAGAGTTGAATTAACAATTAATTTTACAATTAAACATATAAACTTTATTCCCATTTTATTCACCAACAAACAATGGTCCAATTTAGTTATTATAAAACTAATTCGATCTATATGATGGGTGATGTTCATTTTATACTTCCCGTTACAGCACCTGAGGTTCCTAGTAGGTCTCCCATACAAGTGCTAACCAGGCCCGAGTCTGGATGGCTTCTAAGATCTGACAAGATCAGGCATTTTCAGACTGATATTGCCATAGATTTTTATTTCTTATTTTAATGTTGTTTATCAATATATACTTTTGTTAAAATAACAAAATAATTAAAATAGCTCTGCCCTGGGCTAATTCTCGCAAGCTGGGGGCAGGAACAGTCGGACCCGCAGCCGTTCCCTGCTGTAGCAACATTGAAGAGGTAGTGCACATAAAAGCTTTACTAGATCTTCCTCAATTGACAGGACCAGCACTGAATCTCTGTGGGGCACCACCAAGGTCCCTGATGCTCCCCACGAGTACCTTATGCCATGCTCTCTTAAGGTCTTGGCAGTCGGCAGGAATCTCTGCTGCTCCAAAAACATTGCAAATGGTATGTCATCAAAGATCAGCGACAGTGGGATGGTTTCTGGAGCCTGTCAGAAGGGACGGTATAAACGAGACTATGGTGTCCTGAGGTATGTCAGCAGGGGCAGTGTGGGATTTTTGGATTCTGAATGCCGATACTATTGGCATAGCTCCACTGTCTCCCCACACTCCAAGTGTTTAGGCTACCTTATTAGCAAAGACCTTCAGGACCTCTGGACTCACGGTTTGGGGCACACCACGAAGCCTTAAGTTCCTCCTACCGGATGGATGGAGATGTATCAGCATCCGATTCTGTTCTCCAGTGCACACTGCTGGGTATTACCCTTGGAGTAATACGATGTACTTGAGACTCGTGACTTACCAGGGGCCATCTTGGGCAGAGCTTGGGGCTTCAGCCTGTCTAAGGATCTGCGGATATCTGGCTGATTAGAGCCCTCATAATGCGCTAGTTTTCTATGTTTGTGCCACATCTCTCTGTAGGGGGTTCAAGGTGTAATATGTCTCAATTTTTCTCACTATTTTCATGCCGTAAAGGCTAATATGCAGTCTGTGGAGCCAGAGCTCTTTACAGACATGTCTGGGTGGTTGCTCAGCTGGCTACACCACAAGTTGAGTATTTTTTAACAGCCACAAACCCTGACCAAATTTAAAGCTCAAATATTATTTATACAGGGAGTGCAGAATTATTAGGCAAATGATTATTTTGACCACATCATCCTCTTTATGCATGTTGTCTTACTCCAAGCTGTATAGGCTCGAAAGCCTACTACCAATTAAGCATATTAGGTGATGTGTATCTCTGTAATGAGAAGGGGTGTGGTCTAATGACATCAACACCCTATATCAGGTGTGCATAATTATTAGGCAACTTCCTTTCTTTTGGCAAAATGGGTCAAAAGAAGGACTTGACAGGCTCAGAAAAGTAAAAAATAGTGAGATATCTTGCAGAGGGATGCAGCACTCTTAAAAGTGCAAAGCTTCTGAAGCGTGATCATCGAACAATCAAGCGTTTCATTCAAAATAGTCAACAGGGTCGCAAGAAGCGTGTGGAAAAACCAAGGCGCAAAATAACTGCCCATGAACTGAGAAAAGTCAAGCGTGCAGCTGCCACGATGCCACTTGCCACCAGTTTGGCCATATTTCAGAGCTGCAACATCACTGAGTGCCCAAAGCACAAGGTGTGCAATACTCAGAGACATGGCCAAGGTAAGAAAGGCTGAAAGACGACCACCACTGAACAAGACACACAAGCTGAAACGTCAAGACTGGGCCAAGAAATATCTCAAGACTGATTTTTCTAAGGTTTTATGGACTGATGAAATGAGAGTGAGTCTTGATGGGCCAGATGGATGGGCCCGTGGCTGGATTGGTAAAGGGCAGAGAGCTCCAGTCCCACTCAGACGCCAGCAAGGTGGAGGTGGAGTACTGGTTTGGGCTGGTATCATCAAAGATGAGCTTGTGGGGCCTTTTCGGGTTGAGGATGGAGTCAAGCTCAACTCCCAGTCCTACTGCCAGTTCCTGGAAGACACCTTCTTCAAGCAGTGGTACAGGAAGAAGTCTGCATCCTTCAAGAAAAACATGATTTTCATGCAGGACAATGCTCCATCACACGCGTCCAAGTACTCCACAGCGTGGCTGGCAAGAAAGGGTATAAAAGAAGAAAATCTAATGACATGGCCTCCTTGTTCACCTGATCTGAACCCCATTGAGAACCTGTGGTCCATCATCAAATGTGAGATTTACAAGGAGGGAAAACAGTACACCTCTCTGAACAGTGTCTGGGAGGCTGTGGTTGCTGCTGCACGCAATGTTGATGGTGAACAGATCAAAACACTGACAGAATCCATGGATGGCAGGCTTTTGAGTGTCCTTGCAAAGAAAGGTGGCTATATTGGTCACTGATTTGTTTTTTTTTGTTTTTGAATGTCAGAAATGTATATTTGTGAATGTTGAGATGTTATATTGGTTTCACTGGTAATAATAAATAATTGAAATGGGTATATATTTGTTTTTTGTTAAGTTGCCTAATAATTATGCACAGTAATAGTCACCTGCACACACAGATATCCCCCTAACATAGCTATAACTAAAAACAAACTAAAAACTACTTCCAAAAATATTCAGCTTTGATATTAATGAGTTTTTTGGGTTCATTGAGAACATGGTTGTTGTTCAATAATAAAATTAATCCTCAAAAATACAATTTGCCTAATAATTCTGCACTCCCTGTATATAAATAATTGATTTTCTCATCCTTCCTGGGTGGTATATATATCCATTCTCAAGTTCTCTACCAGAGGCAGTGGTTTAACTAATGTAGAGAGGGCCCTGGTGCAAGACAGCTTTTTGCCCCCCCCCCCTCCCTTCCCCATCTCTAGTGCAAGAATAGCTAAAAGGTAGATCCCTATCTGTCGTAAAACTTCCAACAATGCTATGCCAGTTGAAGATCTACCATTTGCCCATCCTTGAACGGTTGTATTTGTGAGCAGTGTTTGATCGTTTGAATGTAAGCATGCTTTTGTATAGAGTGTGTGCATGTAGAGGTGTATGTGTATGTACTGTTGCCATTGGAATGCAGTGTTGTGTTTGTTTGTGAGTAGTGTTTGTATTTGAATGCAGGGGTGTGTTTGTATGCACTGTTGGCTTTTAAATGCAGGTGTACTTTTGTGTATAGTGTTGGTTTTTGAATGAAGGGGTGTTTGTATAAAGTTTTAATATTTTTATACAGGGGTGTGTTTGTATGTAGTGTTGGCTTATAACCGCTTAAGGACAAAGGCCATTTTTGCATTTTTTTGCTGTTTGTATTCAAATGCAATTTGAATCTCTGTCATTTATTGCACCAACACATTTTATACATCGTTTTTTAGAGGGCAAACATGGCTTTAATTTGATGTCACATATACATAGATACATTCTCATTAATTATATAAAAATGCCCAAAAAATTGAAAACAAATTTTTTTTCACAGTTTTGGCAATAATAGCATGTGCATAATATGTTCAGCTTAGAAAAAGTAATTCAAAATAAATTCATTTATGTGTCTTGATTTATAGAGTAGGTCATATGTATAGGATTTCAGCTTATTTTGAAAGCTACAGGTCACAAAATACAAGGACTAAAATAAAATTTAAATTTGCAACAATTTTAGAATTTGGTATGTTTGTCTTGTAGGTTTAGTAGCCATCACAGAAAACAAAATTGCCACACAAAAGTATATATTTATATAAAGTAGACATCAAAGGCTATTTACCTAAGGTTAGTTTGACACTTTTTTACATAGCCATTTCATTGCCAATCTCTGCTAAATATTGTAATAAAATTTATTTTTTTCTTTATTTTGGCACATACACATATAACAAGGAATGTGTATTTCGTAAAGCTGTTATGTGCTATTCCTGCACAGAACCCCATATTGTGTTCAGCTACATCTGCTGAGTATAACGATACCCCCATTGTATGCCTTTGGCACTTTTCTGTAAAGCTACAGTGCCATATAAGAGACAAGGCTATTTCAATTTCTATAGTTAGAATTTTCGTAGATGGATTTGACGGGCCTATGTCTCATTTTAGGGTATTCTAGCAGTGTGACTGTTCAAATAACTGCACAAAGGGCTTTCATTTGATAAGGCAGACACCAATATAAGGTGTATATTGTGCCTTAACTTGTCACCATTTTTTCACCCATTTATGTCAATGTTTGTGGTGGGGGGGAATAGCATTTTTACATATGTGTTGCATTTTTGCTGAGTATTTCTTACACTTAATATGTACCACTGTCATAAAAATTCCCAAATTATACTCAGTTACACCTTCTGAGTAAAACAATATGCCCAATGTATGACCTAGACACTATTTTGTGAAGTTACAGACGTGACAAGTTCAGGTTTTTAAGTGAATTTTCATGGAGGGTTTTGATGCGTCCATGTCCCACTTTGGAGCACTTGAGCAGGCTACATATTACAACTACACCATAAAGGCATACCATTCCTTAAAGAAGACATCCCAGGGTATTTCAAAAGGCCTATTTTGAACCTTAGCGTTGGATAATTTTTCCGCTAGCTTGTACCAAGTGTAGTGGTATTAAGCGTTTTTTCTGCCTTTTTGACACATAAAGTGAGTTTGCACAGTATATTTAGCAAATTGTATGTGTGCTACGACTGTATAATACTTTATATGTTGCTCAGCTATGTCGGCTGAGTACAGCAATACCCCTGTATGTACCTTTGCCAGGTAAATGTGGACATCGGAGGGGCACATTTGGGACACAGCCATTCCAGTTTTTGTCAAGCTTAAAAGTTTTACACTGTGCCCATTTCCCATTTTAGAGTATTTTACCATGGATCTATTATTATTATTATGATATTTATAGAGCGCCGTCAAAGTCCGTAACGCTTTACAATGGGTGGACGAACAGACATGTAGTTGTAACCAGACAAGTTGGACACACAGGAACAGAGGGGTTGAGGGCCCTGCTCAATGAGCTTACATGCTAGAGGGAGTGGGGTAAAATGACACAAAAAGGTAAGGACCGTTGCAGAAGAGGAATCAGTCAGGAGCTATTAACAGTTTAATTGATACACTTTTATGAAGAACTGGGTTTTTAACGATTTTTTGAAGGAGTGGAGACTGGGTGAGCCTCTAACGGAGGAGGGAAGGTGCAGCCCTCGAGAAATCTTGAAGGCAAGCATTAGAGGTGGGAGTACGGACAGAAGATAGATGTAAGTCTTCAGCAGATCGTAAGGGTCTAGACGGGATATACTTGTGTATAAGGGAGGATAGATAGGTGGGAGCAGCATTATACAGAGATTTGAAAGCAAGAACCAGAATTTTAAATTGAGCTCTATATTTTATAGGAAGTCAATGTAGGGACTGAAAGAAGGGTGAGGCATCGGAGGTGCGGGCGGACAAGAAGATGAGCCTCGCCGCCGCATTCATTATGGTACAAGTTGGGAGCACGTAAGACCACTGAGAAGCGGATTAAAGTAGTCACGGCGAGAAAGGACAGTGGAATGAACCGACACCTTAGTCGCATCTGGGGTTAAGTAGGGGCGGATGCGCGCAATGTTTTTGAGATGGAAATGACAGGATTTGGCGATAGATTGAACATGAGGCTTGAAGGAGAGGTCGGAGTGAAAGAGAACACCTAGGCAGCGAGCCTGCGTGGTGGAGCTGATGGTAGCACCGTTGACTTGGAGGGAGACTGTCATGGAGTAACACTTCCGGGTTCGGCACTCAGCTGTGAGGAGCCGGACGCCCCCCTCTGACACAGCTCTGACGATATTTAGGGAGACTGGGCCAGAGAGAGGGTGCTTGGTGATTGTGTGTGAGCTAATGTGTGGGCTGCCTCCGCGGGCTCCACAGGCTCAGCTACTGGGAGCTACTTCCACCAGACTTACCTCTCCACAAGCTCAGACAAGCCATTCCAGCCTTTGAGCCAATGCAAGGATTGCTGCATGCCATAAAGAATTATTGGAGAACGGATAATTTGCTACTTTACAAGTGGACCATATCTCTGAACTATTGGAGGACTACACATATTAACCTTAAGTATATCTTTCAGCTATTTGTCTACATTATCATGTATTAATGACCTAATGCTTGCTTACTCAAATCTTCATTGCTACAAACTACTAATTATATGGAAGACAACTCCCATCATGTTTATTCACTATGAACTGTTTCTTGCTTTGCAAAGACACTCATTGCTTCAAGCTACTAATTATATGGAGGACAACTCCCATCATGCTTATTCACTATGAACTGTTCCTGCTTTATAATATATATCAAATAGGGACAAATATGAGGCAGGTATAGATAAATTAAGTATAACACAGTATAACACCGCAAATCTGGCCAAGAATTAAAAGCAGTGAAAATACTAACATGTATATACAATATAAGGATACTGCCAACAAGAAAAAGTCCCAATAAAAGTCCAATAGCTATTCCAAGAATACAGCACTGAGGAAGGCTCCATTGAGGGCTGAAACGCATTTGCTCTATTGGACTTTTATTGGGACTTTTATTGGGACTTTTGCCTCATATTTGTCCCTATTTGATATATATTTTTAATAGTAAATTACTTACATTTTTATATTTCTTCATGGAATTCAAGTTCTTCACAGGAGAGCCTGGATAGGCACCCAAGGGCGATATACATAGAGCCTATTAGGCTCCAGCCTTGTGAGTTTATTCCTCATATATTTTGCACATTACGTATTTGTTTACATGGAAAACACTATGTGTATTTTATTTGTTTTACAGGTGTAACTACTATACCCATATTTGTAATAGGTGGTATATTTACATACTGTATCTTTTAGTGTGTGTGAATCCTTTTATTCTTTTACATTGGATACTTTGGTCAGTGCCGTTTCCACAGAGTGTTTGGCGTGGAAACCAGACTGAAGCGGGTCTAGCAGAGAGTTGGACTCGAGGAAGTCTGTCAATCTGGCATACACAATTATTTCAAGGATCTTGGATGCAAAAGGCAGTAGCAAGATAGGACGATAGTTGGATGGGGAGTTAGGGTCAAGATTGGGCTTCTTTAGAATTGGGGTTACAGTTGCATGTTTGAAGGGCAATGGAAATATACCAGAGGAGAGAGAGAGATTTAGAATTTTAGTGAGAGGTGGAAAAAGAGAAGAAGGCAGAGTACGGATGAGATGCAAGGGAATTGGATCTAGGGAGCAGGTGATGGGGCGGCAGGACTGGAGCAGAGCAGAAACCTCTTCTACTGTAGCGGGTGCAAATTAACATAGAACAGCAGGGGGAGTGAAGTTAGGGGAAGTATTGTAAGGGGAAGAAGAAAGATGAGAGATCTCTTCTCTGATTGTAGAGATCTTGTCAGTGAAGTGAGTTGCAAAGTCTGAGGCAGTCAAGTTAGTAAGTGGAGGAGGAACAGTAGGGCGAAGAAGAGAGTTAAATGTGTGAAATAGTCGTTTGGGTTCGCGGTAGAGTTTGGTTATGAGGATATTGAAGTAATTAACTTTTGCAGAGGAAAGAGCAAAGCTGTATGAGCTCAGCATAAATTTATAGTGGAGAAAGTCAGTTGCACAGTGAGACTTTCTCCAACAGCGTTCAGCAGTTCTGGAGCATTTTTGGAGGTATCGAGTCAGCTTGGTGTGCCTGGCTTGTTGTTGGGTGGGCCTGCGGCGTTTAAATGTACAAGGTGCCATGATGTTTAGTTGAGAGGAGAGGGTGGAATTGTAGAAGGAGGTTGCAGAACTAGGACAGGTGAGGTTTGAGATAGGTAAAAGGAGAGTTTGGAGATTAGTGGAGAAATGCTCTAGGTCAAGATATTGGAGGTTTCTGTGAGAGTGATGTTCAGACAGTGGTGTCAATTGGGTCTTAGGTATGCCAATGTCAAAAGTCAGAAGATGGGGGTCAGATAGAGGAAAAGGAATATTGGAGAGATTAGAGGCAGTACAGAGGTTGGTGAAGGCAAGATCAAGAGTGTTTCCTGCTGTATGGGACCATTGCGTAAGGCCAAAGGAGGAGGTTACAGAGAGCAGACGAGAGGCATCAGTGCAATTGGGGTTATTGATTGGGATATTAAAATCCCCAAGTATAAGGGAAGGCGTGCTAGATGAGAGGAAGTGGGGAAGCCAGGAAAAAAAGTGCTCAATGAATAGTCCAAATATATAATCCAAATACCTCATAAAGCTACTAGTCTAATACTATCCTTACCTTTTGTGTCATTTTACCCAACTCCCTCTAGCATGTAAGCTCATTGAGCAGGGCCCTCAACCCCTCTGTTCCTGTGTGTCCAACTTGTCTGGTTACAACTACATGTCTGTTCGTCCATCCATTGTAAAGCGCTGCGGAATTTGATGGCGCTATATAAATATCATAATAATAATCATAAGTGTGACAAGACCAATCTCGCCACATTGCATTGGAGAAGCCTGGTTGCTCGCCTGTTGCCTTTGGATTATGGCTCCATGTTAAAAGGCTTGATTTTCCCCTGCAAAGACATGGAAGCCGGGTCATTTGGTGCTTGCCCTGTTTGAGCGGTGATACCCCAGATAGCTTTGCCATGGAGCCCATTCGTTTAATGAAAGACTATGGGAAAGACTTTGGCTCCAAGGCAATTGAACTGTATGTGTGTTATCTGAGCGCCACTCAGTAATAATGTGCGCTCAGATCTAAGCTATCTGGGGATATATTGAATGTACCTGTTTTGTGCAATGGCTGCACAGTTATATGTTTTTATGTGTTTTATTGTCTTTTGCTGCCATGTGTTCAATGGAGTTTTGCCTCTGTCCTTGGAGATAATTGGATTACTTCCCAATTATCTCCAGGATAGAAGACTCTGTGGAACTGGTTTTGGGCAGAAAAGCCATGCTTCCTTTGGTCACAAAGGACTACGATCTATCTTTTGAACCACTGGACCAATTTGTATGATTTTGACGTATGTTTGTATTTGGAGTATGCTGATCCTGAAAATGTATACATGAATGTGATGCATACTTTTCAAGTTATGAATAATGTGGAAAAATTGTATTTCTCTGCTTGTTATAATTACATTACCCATTGTGTAAGGTAATTCAATCACAGGCAGAGGGAAGGATTTTGTGTGGGAGTGTCTGAGTGTATTGTATGTGTTTATTGGTTGTGTTCCAAAACCCTGTGGGTGGTACTAATGTGTATATAAGAACAATAAACCCACAGCTCTGTCTGTTCACTGCTTGACCCTCAACACGGAGATTTGTCTCGTTCTTGGGGGGATTTATTGTATGCTGTTCCAGTTTGACTGCTAGGAGTGCAAAACCTTTCGTATGGTTTTTCCTATTCGGCTATTTAAAGCATTCGTATGGTTCCGGTTCGGCTGTTTACAACATTCATATGCGTCTCTGGTTCGGTGGATTGGTGTCTACAGTAGATGTGCCTGTGTCTCTGGAAAGGGAAGATCTACTAAACGGCGGTTTAACCCTTTTATGCCTGGGGGTGCCGTTACAATTGGTGGCAAGCGGCGGGATCGTTCCTACAGCCAGAAGGACAGCTACAGGAGACACCATTTCTTTGGATTTACAAGTGGGGCCAACGCATGTACCCAGTACAGCGACCCTAAAAGCAACAGAATGGAACCAGCAGTGTTATACGAGGAGGAGGACCTGGATGGCCGGGATGCATTAAGGAAAGGCATCTGGTACCAGGCCCTGGATAATGTACAATACCAGTGGGGTGAGAGTCTCCTCAGTGAAGAGTAGCGGTTGCAGAAGCAAGTGGCCCTGCGGATGCCCTTCCTGGGAGAGCAGCCCCTGGAGGAATGGTGAAGGAACTAGAGCACCGGGTATGGCAGTGTACCTTGCAGGGAGAGGAGAGCAGTGTCCTCCCTCCCCAGCGGCAGAGTGAGCTACAGGGATGCTGGGCGGTCGGCTCAGATCCCCAGCGGCAGTTTGAATTGCAGGGAATTGGGAGCCCAGTCTCCATTCCCCAGCGGCAGGCTGAGTTACAGGGGACAGAGATAGTTGCTCCTGTCCCCCAGCAGCAGAATGATTTGCAGGGAATTGGGAGCCCAGTCTCCATTCCCCAGCGGCAGTATGAGTTATTGGGAATTGGGAGCCCAGTCTCCATTACCCAGCGGGAGATATTGCGGGGAATTGGGAGCCCAAGCTCCATTCCCCAGCGGTAGGCTGAGTTACAGGGGACAGAGATAGTTGCTTCTGTCCCCCAGCAGCAGAGTGAATTGCAGGGAATTGGGAGCCCAAGCTCCATTCCCCAGCGGCAGGCTGAGTTACAGGGGACAGAGATAGTTGGTCCTGTCCCTCAGCGGCAGTGTACCTTGCAGGGAGAGGAGAGCAGCGTCCTCCCTCCCCAGTGGCAGGGTGAGCTACAGGGATGCTGGGCAGTCGGCTCAGATCCCCAGCGGCAGTGTGAATTACAGGGAATTGGGAGCCCAGTCTCCATTCCCCAGCGGCAGTATGGGGAATAACTAGCAGTAAGCAGCACTAATTACCCAATTTCCCATAACTCCCACCCCAACTAGCAAAATATATAATTTGAAAATATTTAAATTAGTTAATTAAATAAATTTAACTAGGGATCAACCGATTATCGGTTTTACCAATATTATCGGCCGATATTCTGTATTTTTGGCCAATAAAGATACCGATATTGCTGATAATACATACCAGAACCGCCGGGCTCATTACCAGCCCGGCAGTCCTGCACACACACACACTGCATTATATACACACACACACACTGCATTATATACACACTACACAAACACACACACACTGCATTCATTATGTACACACACTACACAAACACACACTGCATTCATTATATACACACACTACACAAACACACTGCATTCACTAGACACACACTTCATTCACTTTACGCACACTACACAAACACACTGCATTCACTTTACACACACTACACACTGCATTCACTTTACGTACACTACACACACTGCATGCACTTTACGCACACTACATACACACACTACATTCACTAGTTACTTACCTTCCCAGCAGCTCCCTTCAGCTCCCCTTTACAAATCTCGCGAGTCCCGCGGCTTCAGATCGTTGCCACAGGTTACCATGGCAACGATCAGCGCGGCACACAGACCGCGAGATTTACACAGGGGAACTGATGGGAAAGTAACTACTTGCTGTAGCCCCCCCCCCCACTGCTCAATATATGCCACCGGACCACCACGGGATGCCATAGCCCCCCTCCCTGGCCAGGTAACAAGCAGGGAGGGGGGACAAAAAAATATATAAAACATATAAATATTAAAAATTAAAATAAAAAAGCTCCCCTTCCCCCCCAAATTACATCCCTTCAGAAACACACACACAATTTACAAACACACACACTGCATTCATTATATACACACACTACACAAACACACACACACACACTCTGCAGTCATTATATACACACAAACACTGCATTATATACACACACACTACACACACTGCATCATATACACACACACTACACACAGTACATACTCTGCATTATATACACCCACACACTGCATTATATACACACATACACTACATTATGCACACACACACACTGCATTATATACACACACACACACTGCATTATATACACACTACACAAACACACACACACTGCATTCATTATGTACACACACTACACAAACACACACTGCATTCATTATATACACACACTACACAAACACACTGCATTCACTAGACACACTTCATTCACTTTACGCACACTACACAAACACACTGCATTCACTTTACACACTACACACACACACTGCATTCACTTTACGTACACTACACACACTGCATGCACTTTACGCACACTACATACACACACTACATGCACTTTACGCACACTACATACACACTGCATTCACTTTACGCACACTACACACACTGCATTCACTTTACGCACACCACACACTACATTCACTATACACACACACTCTGCATTCACTATATATACACACTACACAAACACTCACTGCATTCACTATACACACTACACAAACACACTCTGCATTCACTATATATACACACTACACAAACACACACCCTGCATTCATTATATACACACTACACAAATACACACTGCATCCACTACACAAACACACACAGCTCCCCTTTCTAAACACACTGCATCCACTACATGTGGCGTGTATATTTTGTGCATTTACCTTTAGAAATATTTTTTTTTTCAAAATGGTAAATGTACAGAATATCAGCAAGTTATCGGCTATCGGCCTGAAAGTTCACAGATTATCGGCATCGGCTCTAATAAATCAATATCGGTCAATCCCTAAATTGAACCCCTGAGGGTTTAAAAAAAATAAGTTAACCCTAAGGGTATTAAGTATAATACTGTGATCTGTATTTTGATCACTGTAGGTAGTGATCAACTGGTAGGGAAGGGGTTAATTTTTATTAGGACTGGGTAAAGGAGTTTTTTTTTTTACTTTTTAAAAAATTTTTATTAAAACATTTTTTAATGTTAACCCATAACTAGCCTAACACCAATTTCCCCAATTCCACACTAACTTCCACCCACCCCAGCTAGCTAAAAATACAATTCTAATATATTTAAATTAATTAATAAAATAAAATTAACCCCTGAGGGTTACAAAAAATAAAATCTGACCCTCAGTGGTTAAAAAAAATAAAAATCACATGACAGTAAAATGTATACCCTGCCAATTGATCACTGTAGTCAGTGATCAATTGGCAGGGAAGGGCTTAATTTTGATTTAAGATGGGTAAAGGGGGGTGGGATTTTAATTTAACTTTATTTATTTTTAACAGGGAGAAGATCAGCACTGATCCGTCTCCCTGCAGTTCACACTGAACCCGGAAGTGCAGGGAGGCGGATCGTGAAGGGGTTAAATGTGGATGTACTTTTGTGCATAGTACTGGTATTTGAGTGAAGGAATGTGTTTGTATATAATTTGGGAGTTTGAATACAGGGGTGTGTTTGTATGTAATATTTGTGTTGGATTGCAGGAGTGTGTTTGCATGTCATGTTGGTGATGATTGCATGGATGTATGCACATATTCACATACATTGTCACTTAAATACTTAATTACACAGATGTACATACACATTAACACACAGGTACACACATACAGTTGCAAGAAAGATTATGTGAACCCTTTGGAATGATTTGGATTTCTGCACAAATTGGTCATAAAATGTTATCTGATCATCATCTAAGTCACAACAATAGACAATCACAGTCTGCTTAAACTAATAACACACAAATAATGATATGTTGATATGTTTTTATTGAACACACCATGTAAACATTCACAGTGCAGATGGAAAAAGTATGTGAACCCCTACACTAATGACATCTCCAAGAGCTAATTGGAATGAGATGTCAGCCAACTGGAGTCCAATCAGATGAGATTGGAGTTGTTGGTTACAGCTGCCCTGCCCTATAAAAAACACACACCAGTTCTGGGTTTGCTTTTCACAAGAAGCATTGCCTGATGTGAATGATGCCTCGCACAAAAGAGCTCTCAGAAGACCTACGATTAAGAATTGTTGACTTGCATAAAGCTGGAAAGGGTTATAAAAGTATCTCCAAAGCCTTGCTGTTCATCAGTCCACGGTAAGACAAATTGTCTATAAATGGAGAAAGTTCAGCACTGCTGCTACTCTCCCTAGGAGTGGCCGTCCTGTAAAGATGACTGCAAGAGCACAGCTAAAGACTTACAAAAGTCACCGGCAAATGCTAACATCCCTGTTAGCGCATCTACAATACGTAAAACACTAAACAAGAATGGATTTCATGGGGGGATACCACATAGGAAGCCACTGCTGTCCAAACAAAACATTGCTGCATGTTTACAGTTTGCACAAGAGCACCTGGATGTTCCACAGCAGTACTGGCAAAATATTCTGTGGACAGATGAAACCAAAGTTGAGTTGTTTGGAAGAAACACACAACACTATGTGTGGCAAAAAAAGGCACAGCACACCAACATCAAAACCTCATCCCAACTGTGAAGTATGGTGGTGGGGGCATCATGGTTTGGGGCTGCTTTGCTGCTTCAGGGCCTGGACGGATTGCTATCATCGAAGGAAAAATTAATTCCCAAGTTTATCAAGACATTTTGCAGGAGAACCTTAAGGCCATCTGTCTACCAGCTGAAGCTCAACAGAAGATGGGTGTTGCAACTTGACAATGAACCAAAGCATAGAAGTAAATCAACAACAGAATGGCTTAAACAGAAGAAAATACGCCTTCTGCAGTGGCACAGTTAGAGTCCTGACCTCAACCCGATTGAGATGCTGTGGCATGACCTCAAGAAAGCGATTCACCACAGACATCCCAAGAATATTGCTGAACTGAAACAGTTCTGTAAAGAGGAATGGTCAAGAATTACTCCTGACCGTTGTGCACGTCTGATCTGCAACTACAGGAAACGTTTGGTTGAAGTTATTGCTGCCAAAGGAGGTTCAACCAGTTAGTAAATCCAAGGGTTACATAGACACATAGAATGTGACGGCAGATAAGAACCATTTGGCCCATCTAGTCTGCCCAATTTTCTAAATACTTTCATTAGTCCTTGGCCTTATCTTATAGTTAGGATAGCCTTACGCTTATCCCACGCATGCTTAAACTCCTTTACTGTGTTAACCTCTACCACTTCAGGTGGAAGGCTATCCCATGCATCTACTACCCTCTCAGTAAAGTAATACTTCCTGATATTATTTTTAAACCTTTGTCCCTCTAATTTAAGACTATGTCCTCTTGTTGTGGTAGTTTTTCTTCTTCTAAATATAGTCTCCTCCTTTACTGTGTTGACACCCTTTATGTATTTAAATGTTTCTATCATATTCCCCCTGTCTCGTCTTTCCTCCAAGCTATACATGTTAAGATCCTTTAACCTTTCCTGGTAAGTTTTATCCCGCAATCCATGAACCAGTTTAGTAGCCCTTCTCTGAACCCTCTCTAAGGTATCAATATCCTTCTGAAGATACGGTCTCCAGTAATGTGTACAATACTCCAAGTGAGGTCTCACCAGTGTTCTGTACAATGGCATGAGCACTTCCCTCTTTCTACTGCTAATACCTCTCCCTATACAACCAAGCATTCTGCTACCATTTCCTGCTGCTCTATTACATTGTCTGCCTACCTTTAAGTCATCACAAATAATCACCCCTAAATCCCTTTCCTCAGATGTTAAGGTTAGGACTCTATCAAATAGTCTGTACTCTGCCCTTGGGTTTTTACGTCCGCTACTTTTTCCACCTGCACTGTGAATGTTTACATGGTGTGTTCAATAAAAACATGGCAACATTTCATTCTTTGTGTGTTATTAGTTTAAGCAGACTGTGATTGTCAATTGTTGTGACTTAAATGATGATCAGATCACATTTTATGACCAATTTGTGCAGAAATCCCTATCATTCCAAAGGGTTCACATACTTTTTTTTCAACTGTACACACATAGATGCACACCATGATACACAGATACACATACAAACAATGTAACACAGATTAACAAATCACACATAAATGTCATAATGTTTATAATTGCAGCCACCCTAATGATAGAAAACCTTCTGTGTCCAGGAAGGTGGCTTGCTTGAGGTCCTTGTGCTGGCTGAGATCGATGGGAGTGTGCAGGGATCTGCTGCATCTCACTCCTGCTTCTCTTCCCCTGCTGTTTCTGTCTGTGCCAGTAATGTTGCTTCCTCCCTCCTGCACGGCATTCTCAGGGCCGGTGCAAGGATTTTTGGGAACACAGGTGAAGATGATTTTGATGCCTCTTCACCTTAGAGTTCCTCTTCCCTCCCTTCCATGTCACTTTGTGTTCCTCTCCCTCCCTTAGTGTTCCTCTCCCATCCCTCCCCTGTCCCTTAGTGTCCCTCTCCCCCCCTTCCTTAGTGGTCCTCTTCCCCTCTCTTCCCTGTGCCTTAGTGCTCCTGTCCCCTCCCCTCCATGTCCCTTAGTATTCCTCTTCCCCCCTCAGTGTTTCTCTCCCCTCCCCTCCATGTCCCTTAGTGTCCTCCCCCCTTAGTGTCCCTCTCCCCTCCTTTCTATGTCCCTTATTGTTCCTCTCCCCTCCCTCCCCTGTCCCTTAGTGTTCCCCTCCGTTCCCTGTACTTTAGTGATCCACCCCATCCCTCTTGGTTTTCATCTCCACTCACTTCTTTCTCTTTAGTGGTCCTCTCCCCCTCCCTCTTAGTGTTCCATATTCCTTCCCACACCTGTCACTTAGTGTTCCTCTCTCTCTCTCTCCCTCTCCCCTTTAGTGATCTGCTCCCCTCCCTCCCTGGTGTGCCTCCTTCCTCTCTTGTAGCATGGCCGAGCAGAGCGGACCGCGGTACAGGAGCTTCAGTTTCCTGTACTTGGCCGGACTGACGGGAAGTGCTCTCTCAGTTCGGCCGGGTACAGGAAACTAAAGCTTTAGTTTCCTGTACTCGGCCAGACTGATGGGAAGTGCAAATGAGCTCAACAAAGAACCACATTTTTGCCTCATAATTCCACTTTATACATGGATTCCTTGGAGTATGTGTCTGCTGCATACAACAGCTTTGAAACACAACTCAGGAAGAGGTGCAATGCCAGTGAACCACTCATGGACAGCTGATTCTTTGTTATTTTAACTCATCAGCATGAGATATGTTACTGGCTTCCTATGGAAGCTTAGCGTTACTTGTCAAGTACATACCAAATAGGTTGTTGTGGGGAGCTTATTTGCATATGCCTACCCAGAATCCCTTGCAGTAGTGAGATTTAAAGTGAGATTTCTGTGGTGAAAGCACGTCTTATGTCTTGCCTGTTGTGTGTATTTTTGTTTAACATTAAATTAACTATAAACTTATTTCAGGTGGAAGGTTTTTTCATCCACACTTTTTCCCCACCACAATTTATTTGGTATGTACTTAACAAGTAACGCCAAGCCTCCATAGCAAGACAGTAACCTATCTCATGCTGATGAGTTGAAATAACAATGAAACAGCTGTCCATGAGTGGTTCACTGGCATTGTACCTCTTCCTGAGTTGTGTTTCAAAGCTGTTGTATTAACTAATGAAACATGTCCTTGAGTGGTTCACTGGCATTGCACCTCTTCCTGAGTTGTTTCAAAGCTGTTATATACAGCAGACACATACTCAAAGGAATCCATGTATAAAGTGGAATTATGAGGCAAAAATGTGGTTCTTTGTTGAGCTCTTTTGCATATGCCTACCTAGAATCCCTTGCAGTAGTGAGAGCACTGTTAAAGTGAGATTTCTGTGGGAAAAGCAAGTTTTATGTCTTGCCTGGTGTGTGTATTTGTGTTTAACATTGCATTAACTATCCACTTATTTCAGGTGGAAGGGGTTTTCATCCACACTTTTTCTCCATCACTTATTTGGTATGTATTTAAAGGACCACTATAGTGCCAGGAAAACAGTATGTTTTCCTGGCACTATAGTGCCCTGAGTGTGCCCCCACCCTCAGGGACCCCCTCCCGCCTGGCTCTGGAAGGGGGAAAGGGGGAACAGGGAGCTCTCCTCCTTCTCTCCTCCTCCGTTCCGCCCCGTCGGCTGAATGCGCACGTGCGGCAAGAGCTGCGCGCGCATTCAGCCGGTCGCATAGGAAAGCATTTACAATGCTTTCCTATGGACACTTGCGTGCTCTCACTGTGAAAATCACAGTGAGAAGCACCAAGCGCCTCTAGTGGCTGTCAATGAGACAGCCACTAGAGGCTTTGGGGGAAGGCTTAACCCATTAATAAACATAGTAGTTTCTCTGAAACTGCTGTTTATAAAAAAAAAAATGGGTTAACCCTAGTGGTCTGGGTGCCTAGAGTGGTCCTTTAACAAGTAACGCCAAGCCTCCATAGCAAGCCTGTAACCTATCTCATGCTGATGAGTTGAAATAACAATGAAACAGCTGTCCATGAGTTGTTCACTGGCATTGCACTTCTTCCTGAGTTGTCTTTCAAAGTTGTTGTATTCAGCCACACTTTTTCCCCACCATAACTTATTTGATATATATATACCCCATGTCTGGGAAGATTGAGAACCTGTCCCCAACAATCACCCTCCCCCCAAGGCACTTACAAAATCACAAAGCTTGACCAAAACCCACAATGCCGGGTAGAAATCAAACTGAAGGCACCCCTTCCATTTCCACGGACCCCCTAACATCTCCCCCCCCCCCTTAACCATGTAATTCTGCAGTTGTATCAAATATTCTATCACGCTAACTTCATTGTTGCTAAACTGTTACAATTGCTGTAAAAGCTACTGCTTACTATTGTATTCTGCATGTAAACATCAACGAGACAAATTGTATAATGTGCACTGTAATTGTTTTATATTAGTACCCTCTACTTCTTCCTTTCTGTACCCCTCCCCTACAAAACAAAATCTTTGAAATAAAGAATTTATTTAAAAAAAAAAAGAAAAAAAAATACACTTGAATGTATTTGGCATAGTAAGCTGTAACTCCATTAACGCATTAAATAATGCATTATTAAAATAATGCATATTTTCTTTGGAGGTATATCTACTAAAAAGTGTTTTTTTTATTTGGGCATTGGACTGTCCCTTTAACGATTCTAATTAATATTTAATAGATTTTAACAAACTCTTTCTTGCTTTTAAAAATACATCTCACACTCAAATCTATGGTATCTAAATGTATCTGTTTGCCAATTTATATACACACCACCAAAACAAAGTAAGTGAAGACTACTTCAGCTAAAACAGGATAAATGCAAACAAGATCCAGAAAAAAAGGAATATATTAAAATTACATTTATTTGAACATTTATAACTGGAAAAAAAGAAAAAAAATACAAATATAAACAATGGTGCTTTTCAATGTCCTCATCTAAGTGATTTTTAGTAGCCACTTGGTCACAGACACTGGCCAAAGTTAGTGTTAATATTTGTTTGTGTGCGAAAAATGCAAAAAACTAATTTGAACGCCAATTTTGGCCAGTGTTTGTGACTAAGTGGCTACTAAAAAAGACTGGACATACCCCATTTGCAATACCTTGGGTTGACTACTATTGCAAATGTTATAACATCATGGGGGTAATTTTCTTTCCTGGGCTACCATACGCTCTCAAAGGCAACATAACCAATCTGGTGGATTTCAATGTGAAAAAACTGAAACGCAAGCCTTATATTTGACTCTAACTTTTGAAAACACCATAGAACCTGTACATGAGGGGTACTGTTATACTCAGGAGACTTCGCTGAACACAAATATTAGTGCTTCAAAACAGTAAAACGTTCAATATATGTGGTATCTGTGTGGCTGTTGAAGTATGGGTATTTTTGGAATCTAAGGGGGTTGCCCTCTTTTCTATAGTTATTTCCCACATGGTTCTTCTTATACCTCCCCACTCCTTTTTATATATAGAGTGTTCCCATCTTTAGTATAGAAGATGGGCATATTTAATACGGTCTCCCCTCACAATTTGGGGTTAAATGGCGACTAAGGTGAGGGGTTGGTAACTGCGATTAATATTGGACAAAAGGGGAAATCGGGGTAAGAATTTGGAAGAGGACAACTTGTGGAAACTGATAAAAGGTATAGGTTATAACCCATACTGGGTCATTATAGAATATTCATACACTGTGATAAGCTGTTTGTTGCCTTTGGTGTTTGTTGTGTTTGTATTTTTGTAATATGTGCCAAAGTAATATTATTGTAAAGAATTTTCTATGTAGATTGAGTTTTATATACTTTGTGATAAAATTAATAAAAAGGTTCAATTTAAATTTAAAAAAACAGTAAAACGTATCACAACAATTATATCGTCCGTGTAAGTGCCATTTGTGTGTGAAAAATGCAAATAATGTCACTTTCACTGACAATATCATGGTTGTAATACCTTTTACTGTTTTGAAACACTAATATTTGTGTTCAGCGAAGTCTTCCGAGTAAAACAGTACCACTCATGTACAGGGCCGCCCTACCTAGTCTGCTCACAATGATGCAGGACTAAATGTGGTGTGTATAGTGGAAGTGAATTAGAATGTGTGTAATGGATGTAGTGTTTGTGTGTATTAGATACTGTTTGTGCAGTGAATGCGGAGTGTGTGTTTGTGTAGCGGATGCAGTGTGTATAGTGAACGCAGAGTGTGTTTGAGTAGTGGATGCAGTGTGTCTACAGTGATGTTGTGTGTGTTTGTGTAGTGGATGTAGTGTTTGTGTGTACTAGATGAAATGTGTTTAGTGGATGCAGTGTCTGTAGTGGATGTAGTGTGTGTATTAGATGCAGTGTCTGTGTATAGTGAATGCAGAGTGTTTCAATTTGTGGTGGATGTAGTGTGTGTACTGTGAATACAGGATGTTTGTGTAGTGGATGCTGTGTGTATAGTTAATCCAGAGTGTATATTAGTGTAGTAAATGCAGAGTGTGTGTCAGTATAGTGAATGCAGAGTGTGTGCATAGTTTAGTGAATGCAGATTGTGTGTTAGTGTGTAATGAATGCAGATTGTGTGTTAGTGTGTAATGAATGCAGAGTGTGTGTAACTGTGTAGTGAATGCAAAGTGTGTGTTAATGTGTAGCGAATGCAGTGTGTGTGTTAGTGTAGTGAATACAAAGTGTGTTTATGTGTGGTGAATGCAGAGTGTGTGCCAGTGTAGTGGATGCAGTGAGTGTGTTAGTGTGTAGTGAATGCAGAGTGTGTGTTAATGTGTAGTGAATGTAGAGAGTGTGTGTCAGTGTAGTGGATGCAGTGAGTGTGTTAGTGTGTAGTGAATGCAGAGTGTGTGTTAATGTGTAGTGAATGTAGAGAGTGTGTGTCAGTGTAGTGAATGCAGAGTGTGTGTTAGTGTGTAGTGGATGCAGTGAGTGTGTGTCACTGTAGTGAATGCAAAGAGTGTGTTAATGTGTAGTGAATGCAGAGTGTGTGCCAGTGTAGTGGGTGCAGTGAGTGTGTTAGTGTGTAGTGAATGTAGAGAGTGTGTGTCAGTGTAGTGAATGCAGAGTGTGTGTTAGTGTAGTGAATGCAGAGTGTGTGTTAATGTGTAGTGAATGCAGAGAGTGTGTCAGTGTACTGAATGCAGAGAGCGTGTTAGTGTAGTGAATGCAGAGTGTGTGTCAGTTTAGCGAATGCAGAGAGTGTGTTAGTGTAGTGAATGCAGAGTGTGTGTCAGTGTAGCGAATGCAGATAGTGTGTAGTGAATGCAGAGTGTGTGTTAGTAGAGTGTGTGTTAGTGTGTGGTGAATGCAAAGTGTATTGCACACGTGCAGTGTTAGTGTATGCAGTGTGTGTTTTGTGTTAGTGTATGCAGTGTGTGTGTTGTGTTAGTGTATGTAGTGTGTGTTGTGTTAGTGTATGCAGTGTGTGTGTTGTTAGTGTATGTAGTGTGTGTGTTGTGTTAGTGTATGCAGTGTGTGTGTGTTGTGTTAGTGTATGTAGTGTGTGTGTGTGTGTTTTGTTAGTGTATGCAGTGTGTGTGTGTGTGTTGTGTTAGTGTATGTAGAATGCAGAGTGTGTTTTAGTGTGTAGTGAATGCAGACTGTCAGTGTAATGAACGTACTGTGTTTGTTAGTGTGTAGTGAATGCAGAGTGTGTGTAAATGTGTAGTGAATGCAGAGTGTGTGTAAATGTGTAGTGAATGCAGAGTGTGTGTTAATGTGTAGCGAATGCAGAGTGTGTGTTAATGTGTAGCGAATGCAGAGTGTGTGTTAGTGTGTAGTGGATGCAGTGAGTGTGTTAATGTGTAGCGAATGCAGAGTGTGTGTTAATGTGTAGTGAATGCAGAGTGTGTGTCAGTGTAGTGAATGCAGAGTGTGTGTCACTGTAGTGAATGCAGAGAGTGTGTTAATGTGTAGTGAATGCAGAGTGTGTGTCAGTGTAGTGAATGCAGAGAGTGGGTTAATGTGTAGTGAATGCAGAGAGTGTGTTAGTGTATTGAATGCAGAGTGTGTGTCAGTGTATCAAATGCAGAGAGTGTGTTAGTGTGTAGTGAACACAGAGTATGTGTTAGTGTAGTGCAGGGGTAGGCAACCTACGGCTTTGCACGGCACTCAAGGCTGCTAGAGCCAAACAGGCTCTGGCCTATCAGGAGTCCCAGTAAAACTTCAGATAACTGCTAATCCGAAAAGGTGGTGAAGGACAATCCTCAATTTATGCATTGCAGCACATAGAGGAACTGATTTCAGATCACTTCCTCCCAGCACTTGTGAATAGGAATCCACACTGTAGTAGAGAAGCTCGCAGTTGCTGTTGCAGCTCCTGTCCTTGGCATGTACCTGGCCAGCCTGGTCCCCACTGGAACCCACCCACACTGCTAGATATACACAGAAATGCAGAATAACCCTCCCCTCATACAAATAATACGGACAGCCCACACACAAACATGCACACAATCCGCACAAACAAAACACCACTAACAATCCACATACATGCACACAACCCCACATGCAATACCCCAAACAGCCCCCACACACCACCAAACACACACTTTGACATATCCATCCACACACACACACAATTCCACAAGCAGCCCCCATACACAGCCCACATTCATATGTATCATACACAATACCATAAACTACTCATGAACATATACAATATAATAGCTCATATACGCAGGGCCGTCTTTAACTCGGGGCAAACTGGCTAGCTGCTCCGTGAGCCCCTCTGGCCTCAACTATTTCTGACCCTCTGGCCGGTAATCCGCACACTAAGGAGGCCCACCGGGTGGCCCATGCACAAAGGACCACCCGGTGGGCTTCTGTCAGCAGGGGCCCGGTCGCATGCTGAGGCGCTTTAACAGTGCAAGCGGGCTCCTTGCTTTTCGGCAGCAGGATGGGAGGAAGTGACGGCCGCGCATCACTTCCTCCCACAAAGAGAGGAGCGCGCGGGAAAGAAGAGTAGGCAGGTTGGAGGGGGGCTAGACCCCAACTCCCAACACCTTCAGCCACCAGCAGGAAAGGTAGGAAACTGGAGGGTGGGTTTTAAAGTGTATGTCTGTGTCAGCATGTCTGTCAGTGTGTGTGTGTCATCTGTCTGTGTCAGTATTTCTTTGTGTCAGTATATCTGTGTGTGTGTGTGTGTGTGTCAGCATGTCTGTGTGTCAGTATATCTGTGTGTGTGTCAGTATGTTTGTATGTCAGTATATCTGTGTGTGTGTGCGCGCATTTCAGTGTGTGTATATATATATATCTGTGTGTGTGTGTGTGTATATGTGCATACATCTCAGCATTCACACACTAACACTACACACAAATACACCCCTGCATTCAAATTTTAACACTACGTACAAACACATGTCTGTGTTACACACCAAAATTATATGTAAATACACCCCGGCATTCAAAAACCAACACCTTACAAATACATGCTTGCAATCACGCCAACACCACATAAAAACATATTCCATACAAAAACCTGTTTACATTCAAACACACAAAAACTGCTTAGTGTTAAATACAGACCTGCAAACATGGGTAAATGGTAGAGCCCGGGCTGTCAATGCATTTCTGGAGTTGCACGACAGGTGGGGATCTACCTTTTAATCACCCGTGCAACAGGGAGACCCCCAAAAATTCTTGCACCTCTCTACTTTAGGTCCGCCACTGCGTTGAGGTGGAGGACGTGATTGCATGCCTGGGCAGAGGGGACAGGGTCCAGGTCGCCCCAAGCAAATGCTTTGCCCAGGGTTCAGTCACTTTTAAAGATGGCCCTGCATATAGGCAAAAATACAACGATACAAAGCAATTACAGTAAAAATAACACAAGCAGAATACGGCAGCATACACCCCTCGATTTAAAAAAAAAAATAGGACCGGTACGCTATGGGACATCTCAATCCTATATCGGCACAGTGCTGCTAAAAGGTTGCCTACCCCTGGTGTAGTGAATGCAGAGTGTATTGTACAAGTGTATGCAGTGTGTGAGTTGTGTTAGTGTATGCAGTGTGTGTTGTGTTAGTGTATGCCGTGTGTGTGTTGTGATAGTGTGTGTGCGTTGTGTTAGTGTATGCAGTGTGTGTGTAAATGTGCAATCTGGGGAGGGAGGGGGAGGAGCATTTTCACAGTAACTTTCTATTAAATTCAATTAAATGTTTCTCCCCCCTCCCTGCTTCTTACCTGTGTCCAGGGAGGGGGGAGATTTATTCCCTGGTGGTCCGGTGGCATGGGGGGCCCTCCCGACTCCCTGTTCTAATAACTCTTGCGAGACCCCCGGCCTGTGTGCCGCGCGGAGAGTTGCCATGGCAACGCTCAGAAAGCCGTGGGTCTCGCGAGAGTTATTAGAAGAGAGAAGAGAGGAGAACAGGCAGTGTGCTGGGCCTCTCTCTGCGGTAACAGGGAGCCGGTTGGCCTGAGTTGTCAGGCAAGTCCCGCAAATTGTAATTAAGAAAATTACCTAATTATGTAAAATTATTACATAATTATATACGTAGAATTATTATCTATTTACGTGTGTGTATATATACATGTATATAATTTTTTTACATTATTTTTATTTATGTATAGGTATTTATATAGCAATATATACGTATATACTTACATAATATGAGGTATTATTGAGTAAGTTAACCTCAGCACTCTATGGTACTTTATTGCACTTTTGTATATAATGGCGATCAGCCAGGTTACTATAATGCACTATGATCATATTATCAATGAACTAATTCTCTTCTTTTTTAATTTGCACTATGTAGATAGAAATTCAGTGTACTGATCACTCTAATTGTAACAGTTTAATCACATGGTTACTGTCCGTTTTGTATTGTATTTCCATAGCGACGTGTGCATGTATTCGCATCGCTATGGTAACGGACAGTCACGTCGGCGTAGTATGACGTCACTACGCGGGGCGGAGCACGTTTGCACATGCGCACACGGGCCGCTGGGCAGACGGTAACATTAATTGGGGGTAAGCTCACTCACCTTAATTTACTTATTTTAATTAATCATGTCTTATATAAAATGTGCTTTATATGTGATTATTGTTTTTATGATCCTGATGAAAGTCCTCTCGGTAGGACTGAAACGTTGATCCCAGTTTTTATGAATTAACAATAAACTTTGGACTTTTACTTGAAAAACCGTGAGTGCAACCATTCATCTATATTTTTTGTATACTTATGTATATAGATATATATATATTATTTCGTTCTATGTGTATTTTGATATCAATATATATATTAATTTTAAAATACAGTTAGAACGAAATTACACATATATATTTATATATATTTTTTTTAACGTATTTAAATATTTATTTTATATTATATAAAAATATATATATAATGATAATTATATATATTTAATCAATATCATTCTATGTGTATTTTGATATATATATATATATATATATATATAATTATATATATATATTAATATTAAAATACACTTAGACTATGTATGTGTATATATGTGTATGTATATGTGTATTTACAGGGCCAGATTAATAGCCCAGTGGGCCTGGTGCTGAAAATTATGAGGGGCCTAAGTACAGAATCTTATCGACCAAAAACACTAAAACAGTCATATCTCTCAAGCATTATGTATCTGGTGGAGATGTTGCCGGAGGGAAACTCATAGGATGCAGCTATAAAAAAAAACTCAGATTCTTTTAAATATGCTAATCTCTCTCTAATTCATGCTTTCATCTTTCAGGTAAATCCATACCTCTTAATAGCAGTGTCCAGTGAAGCAGGAAGTCAATGAGCGGTGTAAAAGGGTGGGCCACAGACGCGGATCATGTAACCAGAACTTCCGAAAGGGCCGAACATGCCCCAAAAGTAGGCGTGTCTGCCCAAAGAATTGGAAGGCTAGCCTGGCATGAATGTATGTCAGGCTGCTGGCCAACAGCATCATGAGCTTGGCATAAAAGCGTCTAATGATGCACTCGCTCCATGCTTGCTAAGGACTTTCCCCTAGCACTCACATGTCCACTTGTCTCCTTACCTTCTTACTAGCAGAGAGAAACTCCTGGTATACAGTCTGAGACAGAGAAAAGGTGGATGTAGTAAGTGTAGAAGAAAGCAAACATGCCACAGTGTTAGAGAGACCAAAGTCAGCATTATCTTAAAGGACCACTCTAGGCACCCAGACCAGAGTAACTGCTATGTTTATAAATGGGTTAATCCATGCTCCAAATCCTCTAGCGGCTGTCTCATTGACAGCCGCTAGAGGCGCTTGCGTGATTCTCACTGTGAAAATCACAGTGAGAACACGCAAGCGTCCATAGGAAAGCATTATGAATACTTTCCTATGAGACCGGCTGAAAGCGCGCGCAGCTCTTGCCACGTGTGCGCATTCAGCCGAAGGGGAGGATCGGAGGCGGAGAGGAGGAGGAGGAGAGCTCCCCGTCCGGCGGTGGAAAAAAGGTAAGTTTTACCCCTTTCCTCTCACCAGAGCCCAGCAGGAGGGGGACTCTGAGGGTGGGGGCACCCTCAGGGCACTATAGTGCCAGGAAAACGAGTATGTTTTCCTGACACTATAGTGGTCCTTTAACTAATTTCATTTCAGTTAGTCCACACAAGTTATGTTTCCATATATCCCTCTTAAGTTTCCATACTTAAGCAAGAGTGGTTAGGGTTGACACCTTTCTTGGAAAAAAATACAGGCCTTACTAATTTGCATAACTAATTATGTATGTGTGACATCACATGATGTAAAACACAAGGAATGACAAATAAAATTCTGTGAAATCACCAAAAAAACTACTTGGTTTGATTCTGCTGTATAGATGGATTGTTCCCAGTGTCTCCCTGTCTCCCAGTGTCCCCATGTCACTCACTGTCCCCTAGTGTCTGTGTCCCCAAGACACTAGGGGACACTGAGACACTTGGGGAGATTCGGGGACACTGAGATTATGTATCACAGTGTCTCAGTGCCCCATGTCTCTTAGTGTCCCCATGTCTCCTGGGGACACTGGGAGACATGGGGACACTGAGACACTAGGGACACTGGGAGACATGTGCACACAGACACTAGGTACACTGGGAGACATGGGGACACTGAGAGAGCAGGGACACTGGCTGGGAAACATTGGGAACATTGTGTCCCTAGTGTCTGTGTCTCCGTGTCTCCCAATGTCCCCAAGTGTCTCATTGTCCCCATGTGTGTGTGTGTTTCCCCATGTCTCAGTGTCCCCATGTGTGTCTGTGTCCCCATGTCTCCCAGGATCCCCTAGTGTCTCAGTGTTCCCAGGTCTCAGTGTCCCCTAGTGTTTCAGTGTCCCCATGTATGTGTGTGTGTCCATGTCTCAGTGTCCCCATATGTGTCTGTGTCCTCGTGTCTCCAAGTGTCTCAGCGTCCTCAGTGAGCTTCATGTGTCCCCATGTCTCATAGTGTCCCCTAGTGTTTCAGTGTCCCCATGTTTCCCTGCAGCCTTTACCCCATCCCTCACTTCCCTGAGCTGTAGGCTGTGTCTGCAGGCTTGGCGCTGCTGTCTTGACTCACTGTGCTGTGTAGCTGCTCCCCCGCAGATCAGTGAGTGGAGAGATGCAGGTATATGCTGTAACTTCCACACACACAGTGGCCCCTACTGGCCGGTAATGGTAATCTCTTTATACTGAGAAAAATACCGGTATTAATGCAATATCAGCACCGGCCAGGCTGCCTTAAATAAATACTGGTAGTACTGAGTAGTGTGTAAAATAAATATTTTTTTTTAAATTATTTTTTTAAATCAATGGGCCTGTGCCTGGGCCTGAAGCTCCAGCTCCCTATGTTAATCCGGCCTTGTGTATATATATATATATATATATATATATATATATATATACTTAGATCATATATATACTTAATATAATTTTAAACTGTTTTAACGCTTATTAAAAATTTTTTTACAGGCAGCAGGGAGAGTACCTGTCATTACAGGCACTCCCCCTGCTGGCACTGACATCGACACATGGCCCAGGATGGCTGGAAAGTAAGGAGGGGGACTCCCTGGGATTCCAGGTGAGTCCCCACACCGCGATCGCTGGCGTGGGATTGTCGGCGGCCAGGTAAGTAGAAAGGGCGTGGGGACGTGCTATGCGGCCCCCTGGCGTTTAGAACCAGGTCCCTAAAGACAGCATAGCACGCCCGCTGTCCTTAAGGGGTTAAACATAGTTCTTATTAAGGTAATGAGTCAATAAGGATTTGTGATGTAGCAAAGCAGTGGAATAGGACCTTGACAGAGCTAAGGAGGCTGGCATAGAAGGGGTTAAAGGTTTGTGGAGGGGAGAGGAGAGGAAGTGGGTAGGAGGGGTTTCACCTGATATTTAACACGGCCATTGAAAGCTGGCCTTTTGTTAACTAACCCCGTTCCCCAAAGACCCTTTGTTGTCCCTATTTTTGTTTTCCCTACCTTTGTTGTTCTTTTGTCCGTTTTTCGAAATAGAAATAGTCTAAGGGGAGATTTAACGGGGAGCTTAGCCAAGTTGTTAACAAAGGTGTAAGAGGGAATAGGAGTGCTAGAGGGGTGCATTCTGAGCAAAGGCAGTCCAGTGGGAAAAGGGTAGAACTGTATTGAACAGTAGGTTGCCGCATGCAGCCGCAGAGACAGTCAGGGACGCGCAGCATATGTTCCTCTACAGAGAGAGTGAGCGGGTGCCCCAACAGGTCACTCAGTGGTAGAGTTGGCAGGAGCAAGCACAAAAGTAGGGCAAGGAGCAGTCATAGCGGTGAGGGACCCTTAAGTGACAAGGAGCATAGGAAATGTTTGCATAACAGATGTTCAATAAGGCAGGGTTTAGGAAGGGGACGCAGTTCATCTTGGTCTACTAGTAGGAGCACTTCCAGGTCAAGTAACAGAAACGCTAGAGAGGGGGAGGTCACTGGCACATCAATAATGCATAACCGCCATAGGGGCCAGGACAACAGACATGATCGGATAAAATAAGTCGGAGGGTACAGAAGGATGAAAGGGGGTCAGGAATCCAGTGTACGGACTTCCCCAGTTTTCCTCTCCTTGCAGATCTTTAAGAGAAGATCCTACGGCACAGACAGGGTGCAAGGCTGCTGGATCGCTATCAGTGGAAGGGTTGAGGTCAGGAGTCACTGAGACAGGTGCACAATCAGCAGCCCCAAGGATCTCATCGTTTGGGGGTTTGGAGAGGCCTACTTGAAAACATAACATCTCTAGTTAATATCTGCAGTGCAGGAGAGGGCCAAAATAAGGGTTTTAGTCAGACTGTATCCGCGGGACGGGGGACTTGGTTCGGGTGCTAGTGTTATGCAGGGGGAAAGGTGCAAAGGGGCAGAAGTAGTCTCCACAGCAAGAACAGCTTTGCTGATATTGGAAGAAACCGAGCGGATGGAATTGACAGGTTGTATTCCAGATACAGCTAGGCAGAAAATACATGTTTTGTTTGCAGGCCCAGTGAGCTGTCATATTAAGCCCAGTATAAGAGAAAAGATTTGGCGAGGGAAATATGTTGAAATATTTTCACTTCTCCCACTAGACAAGTATATAGATATAAGGGATGAAGATAGAAAGAATTCCAAAAAGGAGGAGGAAGAGAGGAGACGAAGGTATCAGAAGATACCAAAGTCTTTCGGTAATCGGCTTAAAGCTTTAGGCATATTTGCCAGCATCGTGGGGGGAAAAACCTGTGAGAGGTGTACACAGTTATTCTGTTACATGGATGGAATACGGGAAGCCTATCATACCTATGGTGCATCAGCTTGGTGGAAATATGATGAGCAATTTAGGCTGCATTTATCAGCAAATCTAGGTATTCAGTGGGACCAAATGGATTTGCCCCTCTGGATAAAATTGATGATGGCACCCCAGTTAACCCCAGTGAAGGTAGGTGCGATGTTACCTTGGCTAAACTATTACGCTAACCAGGAAGACGCTATACTATTGTGTGATGGTTTTACTAACTTTTTTTTCAATTCCATTTCAAGCTAGGGAGGTTGTGCGTCGTTTCCACAACTTAAAATCTGTTGTGGAACATAGTTGGCAAAAAAATTGGACAAGGAGGTTCAGTTAGGGAGGATGGCGGGTGCATTTGCCATCCCCCCCATCTCTGATCTTAGGATTTCACCGTTAGGTGTTGTTTTGAAAAAGGAGGCCGGTAAGTACCGGCTGATTCACCATCTGTCATATCCCAAGGGGTCATCAGTTAATGATGACATCGACGGGAACCTATGCTCACTATCCTATGTATCATTTGACCAAGTGGTTGAGTTGGTTCAGAAAACAAGAACCAAGGCACTAATGGCAAAGGCACATGTGGATCAGCTTTTAGGTTATTGCCGATTCATCCAGAGTGCCACCATCTCTTGCTGTTTTTTCGATGGCCAGTATTTCATTGACTTATGCTTGCCAATGGGATGCTGCATCTCATATGCATATTTCGAGGAATTCAGTACATTTCTTGAATGGGTGGTTAGGTAGGAGTATGCTAGTAGGTTTGCTGTACATTATTAGGATGATTTTCTCTGTGTCAGCCCCACGGGTTCTGACGCTTGCCATCTGTTGCTGCGTACATTGGAATGGGTAGCCAGTCTGTTTGGTGTCCCATTGGCAGCAGACAAAACGGTAGAACCAACAACTTGCCTTAGTTTTTTAAGTTTGGAGAATGAGTCGCATAAGAGCGAATGTAGGTTGCCACAGGATAAGCTCCGGGTTCTCCTTCAGGCTGTGGAGGCGGTTCGTAGGGCAAAGAAGGTTACTTTGCGAACTCTACAATCTCTCATTGGCCTCCTGAACTTTGCATGCAGAGTAATTTCGATGGAGAGGGTATTTAGTAGGTTCTTGGCAAAAGCAACCTGTGGGATAAAGTCCCCTCATCACTTCATCAGGGTGACGTCACCCATGAAGGCTGATCTAGCAGTGTGGGAGGCGTTCCTTAGGGATTTCAATGGACATGTCTTTTTCAGGAGGCTGGCAGTCTTTTCAGAAAAAATCGAGTTATACACTGATGCATCGGGGAGTTTGGGTTTTGGTGCATACTTTGCAGGCAGCTGGTGTGCAGAGCAGTGGCCTGAGACATGGAAAGGGAGGGCACTTATCCACAATTTGACATTCCTTGAGCTATTCCCCTGGGTAGTGGAGTTGGTTTTGTATGGGGATCTGCTGCAAATAAAAAGGTCATCTTTTTTACAGACAAAATGTCAGTTGTTGACGCTGTCAATCATATGATTGCTTCCTCCATACCTGTTGTTCGGTTACCACGGCATTTTGGCTTGATTTGCATGTCGCTGAATATTATTTTCAGGGTATGCCATGTGCCGGGGTATTTGAATGTGGTTGCTGATGCACTCTCTTTTTTGCAAGGGGCGCAATTTCGTACGGCTGCTCCAGGGTCACAGGTCGAGGGATCAGCTTGCCCAGAGGAAATGTGGCAGCTTGGGACATCCTCCTTGGAGGATTCATAAAGGAGTCTTTGGCGCCCGGTACTTGGGCGGCTTATGTTAAGGTCTGGGGAGTACTTGGGGTGAAGTGGTAGCTGGGTCAGTGGGGATGGCTCTTTGGAGAAGCGCTTAGATACATTATTGTGGTTTCTTTGTCAATTATTCGCTGCAGGGGCATCTGCGTCAGTGGTAGATCGGAACATGGCCGTTTTAGCGTTCTTTTTTAAGATGAATGGCTGGGTGGATCTGACAAAGCATTTTATGGTTGGACGGGCGTTGAAGGGTTTTAGGAAAGGCAGGAGATCTGTGGATTCTCATCGACCAGTATCCTTCGAGATTTTACAGGGTTTCATTGGTGGTCTACTGAGCATATGTTTTTCGAATTATGAGGTTCTGGTGTTCACAGAAGCTTTCGTGTGGGCATTCTTTGGAACCTTTCGCATTGGGGAATTGGTTAGTGTTAACTGTTATGGGGAAGGAGGTATTCAAATGAGTTATGTGGATGTGAGAAAGGATCGGGTAACCATCCAGTTACATCGCCCAAAAACTGACTGTTTTGGGAAAGGTTGCACAATCACCTTGTTTTCTTTGGAGGGGTTGAACATGTGCCCAGTTTACTGTGCATCAGTTTTTCGGGATGCACGGTCAAAAGTTGGGGATTCTTTTTTGCGCCATGAAGACGGGTCTCCACTGTCACGATTCCAGTTTTTGAGGGTGTTCCGATTGGGCTTGAAAGGCATTGGGTTAGATCCCCAGCAATTCGGGACACTTTCCTTCCTGATTGGAGCAGCGACGGATGCCGTCCGCTTGGGTTTTGGGGACCAACTACTTAAGCGGATTGGGAAGTGGGAATCGTTACGGTTCCAGTGCTATGTGCGGCCCAATCGGTTAGTATAAGTATCATGGATAATATATTTAAAAAGTTATTTACGTCTGTGGGATAGGTACCTTGGTTGGTCGGAGGGTAAGAGTGTGGTGGCTGAGGGGGGTCTGTAAGGGTTTTTAGACAATTTACTTCTTTATTTTCTCAGGATTGGTTGCATAGGTGGTTGGCCATTCTTTTGTTTACTGGGCACTGAGCAGAGCTGCAGTTCGACCGCAAGGACAACAGCTGGGCTTTCCACAGGCCTTGGTCGCATTGAAGTGGTTCAGTTTTTGGGGTGTAGGGTGGAGACAGATCAACTTGGACATTTTTCAGAGAGTGGGTATGGGGCATGTGCCAGACGTGGTGTTAATTCATGCGAGGGTCATTATATTGGGCTTATTCCTCAGAGGGACTTGGTCAGGTACATAAAAAGGGATAAGTTCCAGGTGT